CAGGGCTCAACAAGCCGGCGCCGAGATAGCGACAAGCAAACAGAGCGCGAGACAGCCACGAAGACAGACACGAAGACAGACAAGCCGATAGATCCTGGGAGGTAGAGAAAGCGTGCGTGGGACAGATTGACAGAAATCGAGGGGTAGGGCAAGCAGCTCAGGGCGACTTGGAGGCATACCATCGCCGCAGACCGAGAGGGTTGTCGGGCCGTTTAGGAGGGCTCGGAAGAGGCTGTCTAGCTATCGAGGGGAGGACTGGAGGAGAATATAAGTCGTGGCGGGGCTCGAACCTGTCTCAGGTCCAATCTGCTTGTCGCCCGTTTGACGCATTGCCCACATTTTGCTTGACACCTTCGCGTCAACATGTCCGAATGCCGACTGCCGCTGACCGGCCACGGCCTCACGAGTCCGGCCCACCTCGTCTACGTGGAATACGCGGCCACGCCCGAGGGCGTCTCGGCCTACAGCTACACGGGCGTCGAGAGAAGACCCGTCTGTCGGGACTACCCTTGTGAGTGTGCCCTCGGCTTGTCGCCTCCGTCCGGCACGTTGGCAACCAACGATGTCTACCTTCATCTGCCGACGTCGCCGGTCTGTTGCCGTGGCGATGAGCCGATCTGGCCCACCGTCATTGGCAGTGATGACGAGGAGGTGAGGCGAGGCCAATTCGCCTTATTCGCCTTTCAGGAGTCGGGCCCAGAGGCGGCCGGTCCGGCGAGTGGAGTCGATCGGGCCGGGCGGCCGAAGCGGCCGAGACGACGAGTCGCGAAGCGACCAGATTTGGCCGCTTTGCCGCAACCGTTTTGCGACTCGTGCGTCGACGCTAACGTCGAAGTTGGCGTTGGCGTTGGCGTCTCGGACACGCAAGTGGCCAAACGCAACGCTCGAGAGCGCCGACGAGTGGAACAGGTGAACTCGGCGTTCGCCGAACTCCGCGGCCACATCCCCGGCCTGGCGTCGGGGTCGGGCAAGGACGGCGACGGCCGAAGGCGACGGTTGCGTTCAGTCGCCGTCGGCGGCGAATGTAGCCGCCGCCGCGGCAAGCACAAACTGGGCCAT